AAACCATGGTTGGACCCTAATGTCGTTCTGGTGGCTTTGGCTCCTCCCCTTCCCAGGGCCATTAACTATAATCCTCCTGATAAAAGAGCTCTGGCAGCGTAGTGGTTATGAATTGGGTTGCCAACCACATGGTCAGCAGTTTGAAACTACCAGCTGTTCCGCGGGAGAAAGATGAGGTTTTCTGCTCCCGTAAAGATTTACAGCCTCGGAAACCCTGTACGGGGTCGCTAAGAGTCGGAATCGACTCCATGGCACATAACAACAACTGTTAATTGTCCCCTGCCTGTTTTGCTGTCCTCAAATTTTTCTTATGGGACACATGAGGGCCTTCACAAACCAGATGGTGGGTGAATTCCTCATGGCCAGATACCAATCACTGGCAAGCAACAGAACCAGCCAGCCAGAAGAACACGTCAGACACATAGTTCCCTCCTCTTTGCCCCATTCCAGCAGGAAGCAGCTCCAGAAGAAATGACCTCCACCCCTGTACCCAAAACAACAAAAGGCTGGAATTATAGAATCCCTCAGCCACATGTATAATAAAATGGCTGCTTACCGCACTTTCGCTCTCCTTCCTGGAACCTCTCTTCCAACCTACCGGAACTTTCTCTCTCCCTACATGTCATCCCTAGACAACCTATCACCTACCTCCACTAATCTCAACCCCGCCCTCCTCTTCAACCAGCATAAAAGTCCTTCCCAAGCCAATACCTCTCTCTAGTTCCTTCCGACCTCCAATAAAGCCTTACACGTGCGTGTTTGTGTTCTGGCTCATTCCATCTCACATTTATGGTGCTGAAACCCGGGAGGGACAGACTTTGCTGGGACCTGCGACTATGCCCAGCTCTCGGGTTGATCCGCTTCCCAGCTGTCCCTCCTGAACTGCCGACCAAACACCCACTCAGGGGCCTTCATCCATTGCCTTTGCTGACCTTTACAGCTACACACCGGTCAACAATCTCAGGTTGAGTGTTTGGGCAAACCTCCCTCTCTTGGGTCCTCTGTGCTGTCAAGTCTAAGTCCTAGCATTAGGCCAGATGGACTCTTCTCGGCCCGTAGCCCAGGATTGCTGCTCTCGGGGAACGCCCCGTCATCTCAATTCCTTTCTCTTCTCTCTGGGTCTGGCAAGAGAGACGAAGACGCTTCTCTCTTTGCCCTTCTCCTCGAAGGCTTCCTGATTCTCTCCCTAACTCTCCGGCCCGCAATTATCATGAGAACCTCACAGTCTAAATCGCTTCACTCCACACCCTTGGGTTGTATCCTGCGCAGTCTTAAAGCGCTACGGCTACAACCTGATATCAAGCCACGGTGCTTACTCTCCGTATTCAAGAAAATGGTGCCTAATGGCCAGAGAATGGCACCCTCAATTTTAACATCCTTCACGATCTTGATAACTTATGTCAGCTCAGCGGCAAATGGCCTGAGATCCCCTCCGTACAGGCTTTCTTTTCTCTCTGTTCTCATCCTTCTCTCTATTGGACTTGCTCCCCTTCTCAAATCCTTCTAGCCCATGAGAAACCA